GGATGTTGAGGTGCTTGAAGTCGTACCGGTGCTGGTGCTGCTCGTGGACATAGAGGTCGAGGATGTGGAGCTCGAGGAACTTGTGCTTGATGATGTGAAGGTGGCGGACATTGTACTAGATGACGTAGACATAGACGAAGATGATGTTGACGAAGAGCTGACGGTGCTGGTCCTGCTAGTGGTTGTAGAAATCGTCGTTGTAGTTGGATCACAGAAGGAGTGGGCACCCAGGTAGTCGATTTGCCCCCTGCCCCCCCAGAACACCGTGCTGCTATCGTTCTTCTTGGCTGCAAACACTCGTCCTAGGTCGCCAGCGAGGATCTCGTTCACGTTGATCAGCTGGTCTGCGACGGCACTGGAGTCACCACCGTCGTTGTCCCCCCATGTGACCACACTCCCATCCGCCTTCAAGGCAGCGAAAGCCGACATCGTGTTGAAAATTCCTACTACGTTGGTAAGCTGGGCACTGACCGCACTGAGGTCCCCTCCCACATCGGCATACCCTGTTTCCGCATACCAGGTTTCCACAGTGCCATCTGTCTTCCTTGCCGCCAGAACATACCTGTTGCGAGCGATAAAGTCCACGCCTGTCAACTGGGCTTTAACTGTGTTTGTCAACGGGCCCCAAATGGTCACGGTGCCATCATGCTTCCTCGCGGCATAGTCGTAGTGAACCGTAAGGACCGCGTCCACGTTGGTGAACTGGAGGCTGTCTTGCTGTACCACATGAATGGAATTGGACTCTCTACGGGAGTAAGTCACCACCGTGTCATCTGTTTTGAGGACGGCAATTGAGTTCGAGTCTTCGGTGCTGATGATCTGGCGCACGTTCGACTCCAAGACGTAGCCGTTGCCACCGGATCTGCTGTAAGCAAAGCCAATGCATCCTCCAAAAATCACAGCTGTACCATCTGCTTTGATGGCTGCAAAGCTGGAAGGGAAGTTGGTGTACTTGTAGGAGTCGCCAATAACTCGGACAACATCCGTTAGCATGTTACTGAAGGCACTGGTGTCTAGCCAATTGGCGTCGCCCCAAATCACCACGGTGCCATCCGTTTTTCTTGCTGCGTGACCGTGGAATGAGGAGACGATTGTGTCCACGTTGGTCAGCTGGTCTGCGACGGAGCTGGCGTCCCCGCCTCTCAGCCAAAAGCCCCACGCGACCACCGTCCCATCCCTCTTCTTGGCCGCAAAGGAATTCATCACTGCGGAGATCGTCTCGACATCGTTGAGCTGGTCTTTGACAGCGCTGGAATCGCCGCCATAGAATGAATCCCCCCAAGTCACGACAGTCCCATCCGACTTTCGGGCAGCCCAGGCCTGTTGATTGGTGAAGATGGCATCCACGTTTGTGAGCTCATTGCTGACTGCGCTAAAGCCAGGATGCCATCCGAGAGCGCTGACGGAGCCACCGGACGTGCGGGCTGCCCATGCGGTGTAGGACCCGGCGCACAAACCTCTTCTTGGCCGAGGACTGGTGATCCGAGCATGAGGACGAGGATTATGGACGGTGCCATTCCGGCCTTTCTACAAGAAATCTGTCAAAGCGAGGCGCGGCCTTGCTGCTGAGCCAAAATCTCGAAAGGCTGACCTCAAATCTTGGCTTCCGAGAGGGGCAGCGCGAGGTCCAGACCGCTGCTCTGCCACCCCGCTGCACCCGTACATCGAGGGTTCAGGGTCTACGTAGAAGTTTTAGGGTTCATCCATGGGATTCCCTAAACCCTCAACCCTAAACCCCTAAACCCCTAAACCCCTAAACCCTTAAACCCCAAGGGAAATTCAGCAGTTCAGGGCTTCGTCAGCGCTCTGCACTTCAGGGTCTCAGTCCTGAGGAGCTGGCAGCTTCCATATCAGCCGCGCCGTCGGAGCAAAGATGGCTCCTCCAAATAGCCCAAGGTAGGTACTATTTAAAGACTGTAGACCCCAAAGTAGGTACTATTTGTGTACTTGGAGAGCTAGGGATTGAGAATCTTCAAGCCTCAGCAGTGGGACAGGTCATGGCCGTCCTGACACTCTCTCCCATTGCAGGCTGCAAGCCTCTCCGGTCGCCTCCACCTCAGAGCATCTTCAGCCATGCAAGCTTTGGGTTTAGGGCTTAGGGTATAGGGGTTTAGGGGTTTAGGGGTTTAGGGTTTAGGGGTTTAGGGGTTTGGGCTTTCTGCCAGGACCCTCCGAAGTAGCCTCAAAAAGGGGTTCTATGGTCCCAAATTAAGGGTATTTAGGGTCTTTAGGGTAGATGGAGGGTCTAGGAGTCTAAGTGAGCAGTTCTTGAACACCTTCTTAAAAGATCGAATCTTGATGCAACCCTTTGCGCATCTGCATAGAACCATATGAGAAAACTATGTTCAAGAATGGTCCAGTTGACTGCTGTAGCGTTCGCTGATGCCTCATCTTAAGATCCCCCAAAACCCTAGGGCTCCAAGTACACAAATAGTACCTACTTTGGGGTCTAAAGTTTTTAAATATTACCTACTTTGGGCTATTTGGAGGTCCAGGGAAGTAGGGATCCCTACCAAGACCCCCAAACGTAGGGATCCCTTTCTTGGGTGGTAGTCTTTCCACTCCCTTTAGGGGAAACCCTAAATCCTAAGCCCTAAACTCTAGACCTTATAAACCCTAAACTCTTAAACCCTAAACCCCAAAAGGAAGTGCCTTAGAGGCAATTAACTCCTATAAACCCTAAACCCTAGACCCCAAAAGGAACTGCATTAAAGGCTACAGGTATAGAGCCCCGCGAGCCGTAACACCCGAAACGATACATCCTCGAGCCCTAGGTCTCGGAGCCTTTGGGCCTCCTCGGCCTTGTGATAAGGAACGTTTGGGGTCTCTAGGGGATAAACCTAAAACCCATAGACTCTTAGACCTATAAGGGTCTATGAGATAACCCAATAAACCCATAAACTCTTAGACCTATAAATCCTCAACCCCTAAATCCGGGCGTTAAGGGGGTTTAGGTCCCGAACTCAAGGCCTACGACGCCGGACACCCTGGAGATCGAACACCCTAATACTTCTAGGAACCCGTGTAGGGTGCGCAGGTAGTCCCAAAAGCATGGGAGGGGGCAAATTCACCCTAAACCCTTTTACTAAACCCTAAACCCTAAACCCCAAACCGAATTCATCCTAAACCCTTTTACTAAACCCCAAACCGAATTCACCCTAGACCCTACAGCCGGGACACTCTCTGTGGCAGCCAGGGCTAGGTTGGCGACCGCTGCTTTGACACGGCGCTGGTGCGCCTCTCATTCCCACCACCCGCTGCTGCTTTGAAGTAGAAGTCTGTACCCATAGGCTCCTAAGTAGTTCGTTTTTGTGGTCTATATATAGAACCCTATAATAATCTTAAAACAGAACTACTTTACTAAGGAGCCTATGGGTAGAAGTCATTTGGGCTCCACTGCCTCCCCCCCCCTCCCTCATGTCAACACGCTGCAAGGCTTCTAATGCATAAACTCTCCCAACCAGCTCCACCCCCGCCAGCCCCTCGCGAGCCTGGACCGCAAGGCACTACTGGACCTGCCCTCTGGTCATGCCAGTCGTATTTTCGTCGTCTGTTATAGGACATAGCATCCCCGACCCCTTGTAAGAGCTCCTGCCAGAGAATTTTGCTCTACAGCGCAGTTGGAACTGTACACTCAGGAGGCTGGGCAGCAACATCGGAACATGCCCTTCCTCAGAGACTTCTTGGCATGGTCTTGGGAGCTGGTCTCAACAGCTCTGTCCATGACTCTGACTCATATCAAGCACACTTTTGGAAGTTTACCACACGCACATGCCAACTTCACGTGCCTGCAGGCCTCATGGAGTCTCTTCCGGGACTCTAGATTCTAGATTAAAAGTGCCGCTCCAATGACGGATCCATCTTGAAAGCTCGTCTGTACAAGTCGCAGGCTAAGGTAAGAGATCCCGCGAGTTCCGCGGCCTCAGCCTCCCGAACGATCCGGAGAGCTTCCTCCTGCCTCTCAGTGAGTTGAGCGCCTGTCCCAGGCTTCCGGCGGAACATCACCTCCGTCCTGAGGATATGCTTGACACCGCCATGCACGTCCTCACCTTCATGCAGTAAACCTGGCTGGAAAAAGAGCAAGCACATGCCCCTTCTTGGTCTCACTGATGCCAAGATGTCAACTTCTTGACTTCTTTTGCCAGCAAGGACTGCATCGTGCTTGAGAAACTTGGTGGCCCCACCCTCCATACTCGAATCCAGGTAGAACATGCATGTGAAAAGCGACATCTCCTCCTGGCTGCGCATGTAGATGCCATCGCAATGGGGTCGGAAGAAGCCGCCAGGCCTGTAGCGGCACAACCTGAACCGCTCATTCAAACCCATGGGCTCCCAAAGTCCATGGCAGCCGACCGGGGCCTGCAGGGCTCGGGGGCAGAGCCTATCTCCGTCTTCTCCACCTTCAGGTCTCTCAGAGAGAAGGCGCTGTAAAGAGCAGTCATGGCCATCTCCATCGATGTGGATTGAAAGCTGGCTTGCGGTGGCTTGCAGACGCTTCCACAAGAGGAGGGCAAGACTCTCGGATGCGAAGATCACCCGGTCATTCCTGCGATAGTCTTGCTGGTAGGCCACAGCCTCCATCATGTCATCCGTCGCCATGGAGCTGATCAGGGCCTGGCATTCTTCCTCAGAGAGCACATTGTACAACACCAAGCAGCGACCCCCGAAACACCCATAGAGACTATCCACGGGCTCAATGGCTTGAACCTCCAGCTGCTCCGGATCAAACTGGTCAAAGGCATCCAGTGGCGCTGCAAGGGGCGGCAGTCCTTGGAGCTCTTCAACGCCCTGTCCAAGATCTGGCACCTCTCCCTCCTCCCGCCGCTGTTGCACTTCCATCTGCAGCTCTCTACCTCTACCTGAGATGACCTGACTGCCAAAAACATCGGGCACGTTGCACAAACAAACTTCACAAAACAGTCGAGCAACATGTACCCTCTGCTATCGCCTTGCTAGGACCTTTGCTCTAATCCCAATAGTTACTTCCTACCTAAACCCTAAACCCTAAACCCTAAACCCTAAACCCTAAAACCCTAAAACCCTAAAACCCTAAAAGCCTAAAACCCTATACACCTGCAGCTTCCCTATGTTCGGTGCAGAACACGCCAAGACTCCTATGGCTCCATGCTTAGGAAGGCCTCTGAGGCGCTAAATCCAGGGAGGAATGCGCGTGAAAAGCTAAGGCCTCGATACTGTTTAGGGTTTTAGGGTTTAGGGTTTAGGGTTTTAGGGTTTGGATTTTGGGTTTTAGGGTTTAGGGTTTTAGGGTTTGGATTTTGGGTTTTAGGGTTTAGGGTTTATTTGGTGGCTCGACTTGCTAGTCATCTCGTCTTGTGGCCCCCTAGGCCCCAGACGCTTGCAAAACCCACTGGCCCAATGACTGGGCACCATTCACGAGGTGGGAGGTGCGCATCATGAGCATCAGCTGCTTGTTATTTATTGTGTGTCTGTGTGTGTGTCCCTCAGGCAAGATGAGTAGATGCTCGGTTTTCTTGTAAGCAGTGCGCTTTTCAAAGTCTCTCTCGGCTTTTCATCCGACCGCAACGATGCATCAACGCGCGACCAGGATGGGAGAAATGAGGTGAAACGATTTTTATTAGCCCATGGATAACCCTAAACCCTAAACCCTAAACCGGGCCCATGGATACATGGTTTGGATCCTCTGCTCCGGACTGGTTGACTTTTTCGAGTACCGATGCCCTGCTACACCTTCGATTCAACCTCACAATCTTGGACCGATGGCCCTACCACGCAGCCCCCAAGCCGCAACAAGCCGAAGCATCCTGAAAATCCCTAAGCACAAAGCGCAGCGCACGCCTCTCACCCGCCGACTTTCTCGCCCTCCAGCGGCGCGCCCTCTCTCCAAGTTATTGGAGGCCTCAGCTGCGAACTTTCAGAAGTTTGGGGAATCGGAGAGCGAATTTTGCGGAGTTTCCTGTCCTCCCAGAACACGGCATGTTCATGTTAAGGTCTGTAGCAAACAAAAAGAGATCTTTTGCTTTCAGGTCTCAGTGTATCTCAGTGTTACCACGTCAGTACTCGAATGCTCCCCTCAAGCCTGGGGGAATAGCTTGGGTGCTTCCCTTCCCGCTGCAGGTCCCCATCCTCTCTGGAACGTAAGATGTCAGCAGCTAGGAACACGGCTTCTTGCCCGTGCTGGAAAGCTGCGGACAAAGAAACAAGTCTCCTAGTCTGACAAGCGCCTTCGTCCGTATCGCCCACAACATGACGCAAAGCAATTCTACACCCCACCTATGCGACAGCACCTCCCACACATCTGCCCTTCAGGCACCGGCAACGCCGGCACATCTACGGCTGCAGGAGACACCTGAGGTGATCCGAGCAGTGATATGCCCGCTGTTGAGCAAGGTTCAAAGTTCTTGTCGTCTGTGCTTGGGATGTGTAACAGCCATACCAGTCATGCCTGCTGTACCCGACTTCTGAGTGGAGAGCTCGTGATCTCGAGCGAATCAAGTGAATCGTTGGGAAGTGAGTGGAAGGAAGGAACACTTTAGCAGCGACTTGGGCTAGTAGATGCTAGTAGTGCTAGAATGACTCCTCTTACATTCAAGGCGTATTCTGGGAATGAACCCGGCATCTCCTTAGCCTTAGGCCCGACAAGAGACCAACAACTTTCCAATGTCTTTGCCCTTGAATGGCCCGTTGGGGAACCGGGCGGCCACCTGGCCGTCGCTCAAAATGAGGCGATTGCCGCCGTAGCACGCCGTGATTTCATTCGTGGAAGCTTCTTTCGTACTTTGAGGGGGACAGGGCTGGAGGTTCAGAAACCGTGATGCAGGGCAGACGTCGAGACAGACATCGTCCGCCTTGTCACCGGCGCAGGCCGCCCCTGCCAACGAGGTGGGACTGGCAAAGGTGCTCGGAACTCTTTTAACTCAAGGATTCTACAGCTTCGGGCCGGTGGCTTAGGCTTGGGGAGTGCTGGACGTTTTGGCTCTCTGCTATTTTGTGGATGATATACAGCAGGAGTGAGGTGAGGGGGCCGAAAATAGCCGCAGCTTGAACGACGGTTCGGACCCTGGCTTCTTCATAAAACTTTATGCAACCCTCCGTTCCGAGTTCGCTGACAGACATGCAGACACCTGGAATGTTATGGTTGAGGAGTGCGCGTACTTCAGAGCTTCGAACGTTTAAGGTACTTTACAAGCATCGATTCAATCAAAGACAACATAAACCAAGGGGCGCGGCGGGGAACGGGCGGAGAGAAAACGATCTTGTCTACGGCACACGGGCGCAAGGTTCAGCCCCTCACACCCTGAACACGAAAGTCCCAAACCGGGAAGTCGGAGCAGGCTTCACTAGAATCTGCAGTATGTATGCATCAACTGCCCTAGCCTTGAAGCGATTGCAGCCCAAACCTTGTGCATAAAGCCGAAGATGCTTACCTGGGATTGCCCTCCCAGCGAAGCAAGCTTCAGATGTCGGAGCCGGGATCAAGAAGTGCTAGAAACCACGGGGTTGTGCAAGTTTTCACAGGTTTGGACATCGATGATCTTGCACGTGTTGCACGGAAGCATTGGGGCATGCTGCGGCACACCCTTCGGCTTGCTACAGGAATCCTGTTGGTGAAAACTTCACCCTGTTCTCCCCTTTCAACTTGAAGATTCAGCGTCGACTTCCAGGCTTGCAGGCCCCGAATCACCCAGAAGCTCTCATCAAAGAAGCGGTGACATCCCCAAAAACAACACCAACTTCCCGATTTTAACAGCACTGTACTCTACTAAAGACGAGCAATCGAAGCACACGCTTTTTCCAAGGTGGGGATTTCTGCACTGTAGTCCGCTGTCTGCCGAAGGACTGTCACACGGCTTGCTGCAACCTGTACGGTCTGCAAAAGCGCCTGCAGCAAGCTGTTCAAGTAACGGGGAGTCTGCAGAACGGCTGCCGCCCCCGAGACTGCACGAAAATTTTAGGCGCAGGCCCACTGTCCGTCTATAAGGCCGTCTGCAACCGACTGACAGGTTAAACAGGCCTGGGCTTTGGAAAAATCGACTGTTGGCGTGACCTTAAGGCCAGAGAACACTGTCCTGCCGCAAAGCAGTCTGTCACCACTGATGCGGCTGATATGCACAACGCCGCTTCTGACGTTGGTAAGGAACTGGTATTCAGAGCTTTCAGCGACTAAGGCCAGGCTATGACTAACACTCTGCAAAAGCTGGACATCATCGCCTGACGATCCTTCGGATGCAGGCTCCGACTCACTGGAACTGGCTGAGGACGGCTCAGGCTGCTGCGGCTGCTTGCGGCTCTCGTTTGTAGCCGACACCGAAGTCGCCGACTGAGACGAGGCTGTTGCGCACTGCGAACTCCACCGCCCTGAGCGCGTCGAGTCTGGTCTGAAGCTGCCTGAGCGCACGTCCTGCAGAACCTGCTGGAGACACCTAAGTGGTCCTGCCAAGGAGTCACGCCCATAGCTTAAGGCACTGGCACTTCGACCACGACTATGATAGCCTAAAAGAGTCTGGTCAGGGTCGGGTATGCCTGCTTTCATCGTCCAGCTGAGACACGTGGCTTTCAAACCCTGACTGGACATCTTCAAGAGATCTTCTGTGTTGCTTCCGGGCTGACGGGACAGCAAACATCGCATCCACTTTGTCGTAGTGGCTGCATCCATGTTCGTCTTCAACAGGCTGCCGTCGGCTGCTAGGTCTGGCAGAAGAGGGTCATCCTCTAGGCTGCCGTGACACTTCAGACCAAGGCTTTTCCTTAGCTCCAACCATCGCTCTGCCCACGGCTCCTGACAAATGCCCTCGGCTGGAGCAACCAGAGGCAGGAACATATTCCTGCGTCTGCTCTGCTTACTCTGCTTCGGGTTCAAAACTTCACACTCGATGAAGACTGCTCGGCCTGAGTCGTCTGTGTCTACGATAAGGCTCTGGCTGCGGCGCAAGTCACTATGTCGATTATGTCGGGCCCTGGCATAGACCATAAAAAGTAGAGTGGCCGCAACGTAACACTCGTACTGCGGCTCGTCTGAGTCTGCCAGAGTCTGCAGCCATCGTACCTGGTCTGTGCTGAGTGCTGGTGCCTGTCTGGGTGGGCGTTGCTGACGCATAGCCTGATGCGCTAGCCCCTGCACTCTCTGACTCAAAAGGCTGGAGGCTGCCACGTGTAGACCGAGGCAACCGTCTGCAAAGTTCAGGGCCTGACTGAGCTGGTCTGGAACACTGCTGCCTGTCACCTGGCTGGTCACGTTCTGGCAGTAGAGGAAAACCAAAGCTTCACTGAGGGGCTCATGCGGAAAAGAGCGCAAGAGCCAAGCTGCAAAACGCTGAAGACTGCTCACTCTATTAAGAAGAGTGTTCGTACTCTTCTTGGCGAAGCGCAAGTCTAAGTTTCCCAACTCAGTGCGACTGCATTCATGCACGACTTCACTGACTGTCTCGGGTCTGAAAAGGTGAGGCACCGCACGAAAAAGTTGACTCCATTTAGACAAAGCCGCTTGACGCTCGGCTTGGCTGTCCTGTGGCTTCCACTGCCCCAAAGTACGAAGCTTGGGCGTTGGCAAAGATGCTGACTGCAACTTGGCTTCGGCCGACTGTGACACTGGCTGAGGCAGGGGCACAGGGTCTGGCTGAGAAAGCAGCGTGTCTTGTAGACTGTCTAGGAAGTTCCTGTCCTGCACAACAAACTGAAAGGCTGGGTCCTCCCAAGGAAGACTGAGGTTTGACCTGGTGCGTTTGACTTGGCCAAAACCTAAGCCACAGTCCCAACATGGGTCAAGTGCCCTTCTCATAGGGAGTGGAGGGCGGGTGTCAAAATTCTGGCACTTGAGCCAAAATGGACGCAACAGGGCTGTTAAAGTCTGATACATGTATGCATGCCTTAACAGCACTGTACTCTACTAAAGACGAGCAATCGAAGCACACGCTTTTTCCAAGGTGGGGATTTCTGCACTGTAGTCCGCTGTCTGCCGAAGGACTGTCACACGGCTTGCTGCAACCTGTACGGTCTGCAAAAGCGCCTGCAGCAAGCTGTTCAAGTAACGGGGAGTCTGCAGAACGGCTGCCGCCCCCAAGTTCTTTCAATTAGCCTTCTGCAGAAGACACTGCGGGACTGAGCCTCGGACTAAACAGCGGATCCACCCCACCTTTACTTGATGCTCCGTTGCTTGTGAGAAGCTGCTTGGGCATTCACCTCGGCTGGGAGCATCAGCTGGGTTGCTGATGCTCGGGACCCTGGCAAACCAGGAGTCTATCCTGAAGTGGTGCTCGCAGGTGAGCACGGCCTGAACGAGGCTGCGGTTACTGTCTGGGAAGCCCCTGGCACTGATGAGACAGTGCCTGGCTGCATCATTGTCTATCCACCAGGTGACTGGCAAGTCTGAAAGCTTGTTTCCCCAGATGGCAGCGGCGACACAGACTGCGAGAAGCTCGCACTGCAGGATGGGGTGCTGCGTGCCCTGAAGACTCCAGCCCTGAACAACATCAGCCGGTACAATTGCCTGAAACCAGTCTGAAATGCAGCCTGACGCATTGCACAGAACTCCGCCCAGCCTGCCAACTCCTTGTTCAAAGGACCCGTCTGTGAACACCTGAGTCGCCTTGGCTGCAGGGACCTTGAAGGCGCGCGGTTCAGCCTGCGGGACGTTATCCAAAATCCAGTTGATAGCGTCTTTGACTGCTGGGGTGAGCTGTCTGTTGCTACGGCGACCTGGCTTTGTTCCGTGCTCCAGTATGACACGGAAGGCCCATCTGCCTATCCTGCCAAATGTCTGGGCATCCAACCATCGCAGGCGTCCTGCAAAGGCTAGCGCTTCAGCTGGGGACAAAGTGCCTGTCTGAAGTACTCTGAGGCAGGTGGTAGCCACCTCGCGCTTGCGGCTGTCTGTATTTCGCACGCGGACAAAGCCGCTTGGAGTCCGGGGGAGGATGTAAGCAATCCCCAGACTGTCAAAAGACTCAGCAAAGTCAGTAGCCTTGGAACCCGTCAAGGCAGCTTGCCACCCTAGTAGCTTCAGCAGCAAGAGGAACGACTGTGTGAGGCTGTTGCAGTCCTGCTCCAGTGTGATGGCTGTGTAATCATCGAAAAACACAGTCAAGGGAAGCATGAGAAGACTAACGGCTATGTGCCACAGAGCTAGGCTGCATCTACAAAAGCCATGCACACTGCCTGTTGCTCCGAACGGCAAAGCTCTGAGGGCTAAGACTGCTGGCCTTCCTGTCTCTGGATTGTACACAGCAACCTTGGCAAACGGTAGGTCGGCCTCACGGACGCCTAGCTGTTTAAACGCCCATTTCAAGTCAAACGTCCTGCCCCGGAGGCCTGAGGGCGCCTGAGGCCGACTAGATTGGGCTAGGCACCTGGTCTGAAGATGCAGCGCCAGAGAAATCGTGCTGGAAGCCGGCTGGACTACTATCTTTTCGTCTACTCCCAAAGTGCTGTTCACCAAGTTGACTGAAAGGTCATCTATGGGCCTGACCTTGGCACCCTGTTTCACTGCGAACCTCCTACCGAGGGTGCAGCAGGTGGGCGCCTGGGCATGCCCGGTCTCGAGGACAGCCCAGCCTGCCTGACATTCCTCAAGTGTCAACTGCCACAAGGCTTTGTCAAGTGCCTCGTCACCACTGGACTTGCACTGTGCCCGTATGGCAGCATTGTTCTGGTGGCGCTGACACCAGACTTCATCTCTGTGCATGGCTGGGGGAACAACCTTCCCGGGCCTAGTCTTCGTGTCTGGTAACCACCCAGTGAGCTGAAGCCTTGTCTCATGTCTTGAGGCAGAGACTGGTCTGGGTAGTGCAGCCCTTGCAGCAGGCACTCGAAAAGCCTGATGCGTTTGCCCTGGAGGATGCCGCGAAGATGCGGCGCCATGTTGGCGTGATCTGAGTCCTCACGGGCCTGAAATTCTGTAGCCATGTCGCACATGGTCTTAAGGCGTTGACAACGCAGAGCATGGAGCTCAGTGAGCTTGCGCCCAGCCAGCAAGGCTACAGTCCTGTCCAGTGCTGCTGGCAACGGTGGCAGGGCCGTCTGAGGGTGGTGACTCAAAACTGCTCGCTGCAGGAAGACTTCAGGGCTGACAGGCTGCTCGACGAGTGCTCCCCAAGTTCCATGCTCGACCATCACCTTAATGGTGGTGGAGCCTTTGGGAAAGGCGGGGTCCTGAAGTCTGTTACCAGGCACAAACTTGACACGGTCCTTGGCTGACTCAAGTTTGACCCAGCTGTGACCTTGAAAAGGGTCAACTACGACGGGGGCGTGGGTGGCTTTGGGAAAAAGGCCCAGGGAGGCTCTTTCGGCTGCAGCGTACCTGACCGAGCCTTGAGCTGAGCTGAAGTCTGCGAGGCGGCCTGTGCGCGAAAGGTCCTCGGTGACCAGCGATGCCCAGTGCCTGCAGAGTATTGGTGGGTAGGCTGCTTCTTCGGCTGTGGACCAGCCTGATGCTTGTCTACCCCATGGCAAATGCACATGTCCCAGACTGGGGTGACAACGTATGAGGTCTGAAACAGACTTGCAATTCGACCAAAAGGTCGTGGCTTTCTTGCGTGCGCCCCCGTATACGCACGAGTCGAAAGTACCATGAAAGATGTGCCTGCGAAGCGCTTTCCAAACTGAAAACACGGGGCTGGTTATCCAAAACAGGCTCGACTCCGGGTTCTCTAGTGACCAAATCACGTCATTCTCCTGACAAGCGAGGATGACCTCGGCTGAGAAACGATAAAGCTTGTTGGCTGTTGCAACGCGCTGTCTGTTGAAAAAGCTGAGCCCTGGCAGACCGTCTGGGTGCAGAGCTGACCGCAGTGGCTGCGGAGAGCCTGGGCCTGCATCAATCCTGCGTGCTGCGCTGCTCGTGCCACAAGGCGGCGCGAGGTGCACGGCGGCAAGACGTCTGGATCTGATCAAATCGAAAACAAGCTTCTGACTGAGAGGTTTTGCTAAGTCCAGCAAGACTGAAGGGACCCCTGACACCTTAACTGAGTCGACTGCCAAAACTTGAAGGCCTAAGCGAGCGAATGCCTTGGACATCCTGCCTGTGCCTGCAAAAAGTTCGAGAAACAGCGTGCCCAGCTGCTGTGAAGGGCCGGGCTTGTGCGAGGGCTCTGTGCCTGGCGAGCCTGTGCTTGCCTGGTCTGAGGGGGACACGGTCTGAGGCTGCAACGTAGGCTCTGGCGGCAAGGGCGGTGCGTCACTGGCCTGCTGCTCCTGCGGGGTATCGGGAGCCGGTGCAGGGCTGAGGTCTGCAGGCGTCAGGAGCGTACCTGAGTCAGAGTCAGGTGGGCAGTCAAGGCAGGGGCCAGCTGCGGACAGCGCTGGCTCTGACTGCAGCGGGTCTAACGTTGCCTGGGTAGAGTCTCACTTATCGCACGCGGAGAAGCTATGACTTCCATGACACTTCATACAAATATGAAGTCCCCGACGGCACGATGGGCCGTGTTCCGTCTCCCACGTCTGCTCTTGGCACCCATGGGGAAGACTGTGATTAAAACAGATAGGCTGTCCCTGAAAATTGGGATCAAGGCCCTTAAGGGCGGCTGGAACGGCTGTCTGCTGTTTGTCCTTCCCTGTCTTGGATTTCCCTTTTCCTGACTTGCCTGCCTGCCACGCCTGCGACATGAACTTGCCTTTGTGCTTGCCCTTTGACCCTTTGTCTGTGTAGGGCAGAGGGGCGGTCTGTTCCCACGTCCGCTTGGGTGGCTGCAGCCTGTCTGTCTTTTCGGGCTTCGGCACCGGCACCAGAAAGAAGGCTACTTGCATGCTGTGCTGCCACTTGCGAATTGCTTCGTCGACGGCTGCGGTCTTGCCTGGGCCGACAAAATCACTGCCAACTTCCTCGGCTACACGGATCCAGAGTTCGCGGTCTGCCCGCAAGACTGCATCGATGCCTGGGGCCTCAAATTTGACTGGTGGCGGTCTGTGAAGGTGCTCAAGCAGGCCTCTGGCATAGGCTTCATGCACTTCGAAAGTGCCCATGCCTGCCATCTCAATGGCTAGGCCACGTCTGCTGAGTGCCTGTGCAAGCCTAAGCTCTGTTGAAAGGTCTACTTTCAAAGGCTGCGGCTTGGACGCAAGTCTGAGCGCCGAATTTTCCAGTTTCAGGAGATGTTCGTCCCTCTTGACGTTTGCCACCTCCTGCTCCCGCGTACTGCATCTGTTCAGCGGGACGTGCCGAATCGACTGGTCTGCCAACATAGCACTAAAAGCATCGACTAGTTGATGACTGGGTTCATACTGTCCGGAGATGCGGAACGATCCCAGTTTAGCCTGGAGAGCCTGTAATCGGCTGGAGCGTTCTTGTGTGGAGAGCCTGCGACTGGGCTCGCCTGTGGGACCCTCAAGGGTACTGCGCAGTTCCGCAACAATAAATGTTCCCGCTTCAAATAGAAGGCGGTGCACCGCGCTGGCTACCTGGTCTGTGGCTTGGGGCTCCATGCTCTCAAGGAGGTCCTTCAACTTGGCTGAGTCTACGTTGTTAGGGGCTGACGCCACACGGAAAAGCAACTGCGAGTAGGTTTTTATCCCTGCTCGACTCCATGCCTGAAGAGACGTCTCAGGAATGCCGTGCTGTAAGGCCTTTGCACGAAAGGTGACCTCGCTGTCGCTCACGGCCGACATCGCCTGAGGTCAATGCTGAGAGAGGAACGCAAAACAAACGAGTGACTGCTGCCCTGTTGACTTTCCGGCCTGACTGCACTGTGCCGGTGACTGGAACAACAAACCTGAGGCCACAAGGCCATAATGCCAAGAGTCCACAAGGACGAAGGGGGGGGCTGTGTTCCCGGCTGCGGTTGGCTCTGAGCCTGCCAAGGGCACGTGTCTGCCGACTCAAGTCGCGCAGGGGCCAACCGAGGCCTGAACCTGTCTTCTGCTGTTGCCACAACTGGCCTGAGCACACAAGTGCCAGGCAGCGAGAAGAAAGCCAATGGCACAAGCCAGTGCAACCCCGCCTGTGCCGGGTCAGTCCCACAAGGGCTGGCCCCCAAAGGCTCAAGCCAATGGCAGCAGCAGGAGCGGTGCAGAGGGGCTCAAGCCCAAACAGAAAAGAACTTGACAACAGCTGTGCACAAGCACGCTGGCCGATTTTCGCGGCTGACTGCGGTCTTCTGTCGCGGTTGGCCCCTTGATCGCTTGAGTAAGAAGACAAGTCTAATACCACACTATAGGACGACTGGACTGCGAGGCCTGAACCACGACTGCAAGAAAGTCTGTGCTGAGATCAAGGCCTGGAGCAGGGTGACGCAGCCGAGCGTCGGATCGTTTACTACGACCACTCGTCGGACTGAAAAAGACTGCTACTCAGGCTATTCCACGTCATGCCACTGTGCACGGCTGAAACCTGAGACACACAGCACTAGCGGAGTACACTGACTAGGCTATGCACGGTCTGAGGCTCGGGCTGGACTCACCTGTGACGTCTGGGAGGGCGACGGCTGTGGCAGTCTGAACAGTCATGGTGGCTATGCGCCACGCCACCGTCTTTGGTGTCTGTGACGGCGCGGCTGCAAGCACGTCTGCTGCATTGGCTACATGTGGCTAAGCAAAAGCCTGTTGTGCGGTGGCCGTGGTCGCGCAAAGCGCGAGGGAGCCGAGGCTCCCGGCTGAGGCACAACGGCGCAAACGCCGCGTTGTACGGCCAGGCGTCTGGAAGGAGTCCTCTGTCACCACTATAATTGGCTATGAACAAGCCTGCGTTGAACGACACTAGGTCGTTAGGAAAGGCTGCAAGAGCCGCCTGGTCAGGCTGAAAGGGGCGCTCAAGCACCGGCTGTTTGGGCTGAGGTGGGGGCTGTCGCAGACTACCAAGGACTGGTCCGACTCCAGGTGTGCCCCGCTGTGCACCCAAGGGTGGCGGGGGCGGCACTGTCGGGGCCTTGGCTGCGGGTTGGCCTGGGTGCGGCTGGCTCGGCTGCCCTGGCTGCTCCGGGCGACTCTTGACTGGCACAAGCTGCTGCTGAGCGTGTGGCTGCATCTGAGGCTGTGGCTGGGCCTTCACAGTGATATGGGCTACCATAGGCTGCTGAGGCGGCTGCTTTCCTTTGGTGGCTGCCTTGGAGGTGGGCCCCAAGGGGGGCTGAGGTGCGGGCTGAGGGGTCAGTGACGTTTGATCCTGAGTAGGCTGATCCTGAGTGATCGCAGAGGCGATGGCGACCTGAGAAGCGGCTGGTCCTGTAGGCGCCTCGGCTGAAACTGTCGTCTGTTCCTGCAGCGGGGCTGGGGAGGGTGCAACGGCTGGGGCAGACTGCAGAGACAAAACCGGTCCAGGCACGTCCGTAGTGTCCGCCCAAGCCTGACCAGGGGCAAGACCAAGGACCTGCGAGGCTTCGGCTGCTCCGACTGCCACCGGGGCTGCAGGCTCAGGCTCATCGGCTGTAGTATACCAACCGGCTGTACCCAGGCCTGTGTCAATGACTATTTGATATCCATGCGCGGCTTGCACGACTACCTCCTCGGCTAGCACCAGCATAGTGCGCAAACGACCACGCGCATCCTGCGGGATGTTGGACAGGGCTTCGACCACCAAGTCACCATCCAGGCTGATGACGTCTACGAGCGTCTGCTCCGTCTGGTGGACCTGCTGAACCCAATCCTGCTCCTCGCCGTCTGCGGCCATGGCTGGCACTGAGGGATCTAACTGAGAAGGCTGTCAAAATTCTGGCACTTGAGCCAAAATGGACGCAACAGGGCTGTTAAAGTCTGATACATGTATGCATGCCTTAGGCCCCAGACATCGGTCATCTAGGGATGAAACACCCCTCACATGCTCAACCCATCTCGACCCCGGAACATCGGAGCCCCAAGCTTCTTGTGATCCTGCCTGGGGCCTGCAAAGTCTGTCAGAAAAGCACTTTGGGGTTTAGGGGGCCTTTAGAGGTTAGAGTGTAAGAGGTTTAGGGGTTTTGGTTCAAGCGCCTAAGAATCCCAACACCTTGTCAGCATACTTGCTTTCACTGCTGGCTCCGCAGCCCATACGCTGGGAAGAACACTGCAATGTCCAGGGCACCCTCGATAATAGCTTTGCGTTGCGGATTGTCTTTTCAACATGTCACGGTTTGACTTCCAGATTTCTGCACCAGCTCCTTGGTTCAATTCGCTTGGACGTCGCATAAGGGATTAAGCTACAAAGTTTGGAGATCGAGCAGCACGAAGTTTGGGGAGTCGCATGTCAATGACCTACTCGGTGCTTGAGGGTTCAAGGTCAGGGCAGACATTCAGCAGATGATCGAGTTTCTGAGCTTTACAGGGCTGCTTTAAATGCCGTGTGACAGCACTTGAGCCGCACGAGACCATGACAAATGCAAGGATGCAGCTCCGGCGGAGCCCCTCTTCAGCTTCGGACGCTCGGTGCCAGACACCGAGTGCCTCAAACCCGAATTCCGCGACTTGACCCGTGTCCTGACCCCAGTCCTCGAAGGTCCCAAACCAGCAAAGACCCAAGACCAACACCAAAGCAAGACCGCAATGCTACGGCGACAAGTTTGAATGCCCGGACTCCACCACAGCGCGACCTCTATACTTTTTTTGGCGGCGGATCGGAAGCGCTCGGGAGAAAGGCCACCAGCGCACCGAGGCTGAGGCCTCGCAGCCAAAAAGAGTCGAAGCCCCGAAGTCTCCCACAGAAGCCACGACCACACTCCGGGCCGGGCCCCGGCCGGGCCTCGGATCAAAGACGGATGCCTTTCTGACGCACCGGCAGCGCATCGAAGGTGGCCCGGAGCTTCTTCTTCTCCTCCGCGCCTGCAGCGTGGTTTCTGTGGCAAGGTCCAAGATGCTTTGACAAAGCCCTCCGAGGCCCGGGCCGAGCGGGTTGTGGAACAGATTGACCTCGACCTCCGTGAGCTGAGGCAGCTCTCGAAGAATCTCAGCCACAGCTGTGGCGCCAGGAGCGCCTCGGTCAGAGGCAGGCAGAGCCCGCCACTTCCGGTAGAATCTGCGGTAGAGGGAGTAGATGGAGTGGGAGTGGGACATCGGCAGAAACCTGTCTCTTCAAACTTCGGCGTGGGGACTGGGCTGCAGTGAGAACACGGAACCGAGGCTTGGATCGCCTGAACGTGGTTTGTGGGGCAAGGCCTACAAGGCCGCTGAACAGACCTCGAGGCCCGGGCCGAGCGCGCTGTCCATCAGCCAAACCGTGACCTTCGTGAGCTGTCGCAGATTCCGCAGGCTCTCAGCCACAGCTGCGGCGCCTGCATCACCTTTTGCGACAGAGAGATTCAGCCCCAAGCTGCCACGCTCCGCCCCCGGGTTGCTAAGGCTAATTAATGGCACAATGATACGCCGTCCCACGCAACTGCAGCTCTCGGGCTTCGACTTCTGCGGGGTCCGAGCAGAGCGCACGCCGAGGCCCCGGGCGAATCTTGTTCTCGGACAGGTTCAACACGAGCTCCTTGAGCTCCGTCAGCCGGGCGAAAGCGGAGGCCATGGCCTTTGCGCCCTCCTCGCCTCGGTGCCCGCAGGAGCTAGACTGCTCAAGTGCTGCTTCCAGCTGCCCCTTCAGCTGGAAAAAGTCGCGAGGAACAGCGAAAGGGAAGGAAATTGGCGGCCTTCCCGAAGGGACGGGAACGGGCATTTGGGCAGGAGGGTTCTCGGAATCGAAATCTCAAGAGTCTCAAGAAAGCCGCCGCGGGAATCCAAGACTCGGAAGCACCTCACTGGGAGTCGAGGCCCGTTCGGGAGCAGTGGGAGGCGGCTGCCAACAAGCTGGAAATCAAAAAAGCGAATGCGGGGACACTGGATGCCGTTTGCAGCAGCAAACAAGTAAGAAGGGCTCTACACGTCTCCACGGCTATCTCTACCAAATACTTCCAAATACCAAGAAGCCGACAAGAACGGAGATGGATACAATGGATGGGGTCGGCTTGCAGGCCCAACCCCAAGTGGGAACGCGGCCAAAAAGCGAACGAGGAACGCGCAGCTGAGGCCCCCGGCCCAGGGAGTTGGCTTGCAGATCCAACGCCAGCCGCTCCAGCTCCGTTTGTTGGCCGAGGCCTTCGGCCAGGGCCCGGGCCTGGCCATCGCCTGCCAGCGGAAGAAAGGCGGATTTCTTCTTTTCCCCGCTCCGCGCGCTCCGAAAGGCCGCCGGGGCCGGGGCCGAAGCGGCTGCGGTGGGAGTCGTGCTCCGCCAGCACGAGGTCGAGCTCTCGAAGTTTCGGGAGCTCTGGCAGGGCCCGGCACAGCGGCGCGAAGAATTTCCGGTATGCCTCCTCGATGTTGCCTCGGTGGGAGGCCTGGGCCTGGGGGCCTCCCGGAACCCGAGCCCGGCGCGGTCGGGGCCTCCCGGATCTCCCGGAGCACCTGAGCCCGGGGCCTCGGAGGTTGAGATTCAGCTCGAGCTTCTGCGCTTCCTCGAGCTCTTTGAATTCTTTGTCCTGCGTGCGGCCGGCGGCGCCGGGGCCGCAGTCGCTGTCCGAAGAGCTCCGTTTAGACCCGGAAGCGAGCGCTTGTGCCGAGCAAAGGTGACCATAAGGTCGTGTCCGGTGGATGGTAATGAGAGGGGTTCCGGTTTCCAGGCTTCTTTGGGAGACACTTTGCCCTTGAGAACTCTGCCGTCGACTTCATTCGGTCGGGCCCGAAGTGATGAAGAACTTGCCACGCTTCAGAGAGAGCAGGCGAGCCTCCAACATGCACAGGAACTCCATCGCTGGGTGGGTGACGGTCGTCACCTTCACCTGAAGAGAAAAGGCACCCACAGCGACAGCCAGAGAAGAGGGG